TCGGTGTGACGTCACTGGACTTGTAAATAAACAACCTCGGTTTTTGTTGTACATGTCTACTGTGTAATTTATTAGATTAACCAAGTTTCTCAGTTATTACTATCACGTTTCTTGATATTCTGCACCTATACTATATATATTGACCATGGAAGACGGCTTTATAAAAGCAGAAAGTACTAATCTTCCACGAATAAATACATTGATGGTGGCGAAATTCTTCGCTTGCAATCCCGACTTGTTATTTCGTGCTAATTTCAACCACGTATTTCTCATTTTTAAATCTGTTGGCACTTGTATCCATAACTTTTCCGGTGTTTTAACACTTGTATTCTTACATTCAGACACAAGACACCGATGATAAGGACTATAGCCACTAGAACTCATTATTTATTTCGAAAATATGTATATTTCTTTCAGCGAAGCGTAATGTTTACAATGCCCGTGACGTCACAGACATGGCGGCCTGAGAATTGGCGTTTTCGCGCCCAAATTTGAATTGTAAAATGAAAACACGTTTTTATGAAATAATTGGAATAAAAAAAATGTATTTATATTTTTTGTGGTATTTTATCAATAACAGATTAAATTAAAACACTTTTTGAATTAGACTGTAATACCCTATTGTTTCTGTAGGTGACTACTACTGACGACCCTGTAATCCGACGGCTCAGTAAGACTGTGGGCACGGTGTACGCCACCGACGCCATCTTGGCCACCATTATGTGCTGCACCCGGTCCAACTACTCCTGGGATATCGTCATTGAGAAGATTGGTATGTCCCTAGTGGCAAGACATAAATATTTAATTATCAATTTTTTTTATATAATAGGTCGGCAAACGAGCCTGCGGATTACCTGATGGTAAGCAATCACGCCGCCCTTGGACACCCGCAATGGAGGAGTTACGAGTGCGTTGCCGACCTTTTAGGAATTAGGGTTTTGGAGATTTAGGGATCGGGGGAGGGGAGGATTGGGCCTCCGGTAACCTCACTCACAAGGCGAAACACAACGCTGTTGTTCTTTCACACTGGTTTTCCATGAGGCCGTGGTATAACTCCGGTCGAGCCGACCCATTCGTGCTGAAGCATGGCTCTCCCACAATTAGATTAAGGCTAAAGCCCTTAAATGGCAAAAACTTCTAGTTACCATCCCTTCTAAATACTTTTGAGAGTCATTAAGATATTCGCAAGATATTACGTGTTTTTGTGACCCCTCGGCATAGGAGATAGTCGTAAATGGTACTTTTTCCATTTCATTTAGGTACACTCCCGTTTCGCCAGCAATACTACGGTAAAACGTATCGTCAAATTATACCGTTTTTACGTGTATATTATATTCTTACTTACGAAAATTTGCTTTATTAATATCAAGTATAATCATTCTGTTTTATGTTTTTATAATAACTATCGTGAGACATACTAAATTAACTAAAAATCGCGGGTTACTCACGTGTAAATAGTAGTAGGCTGCGCGACGTCGCCGCGTCCGCGCACGCTGCTCATGAGGAAGGACCCCTCTGTGGTTCGAAACTAGTAGAGCTTTTCTCAATATTTACACGTGAGTAACCCGCGATTTTTATTTAATTCTGTTTTATTTTCTTAAAGGTGACAAGCTGTTCTTCGACAAGCGTGATAACACGGAATTTGACTTGTTGACTGTTAACGAGACATCTGTAGAGCCGCCAACTGACGATGGCAACTCCATCAACTCGCCGCGTAACCTCGCGCTCGAAGCTACATTCATCAACCACAACTTCAGCCAGCAGGTTAGACATTTATCATTAATTTAGATTCTTGTATAAAAGCAGCCCGTAAATAAGTATAATATAGTTACTAGTAGTAGTATCTAAGAATCAGAAATACACACTGTTATATTAAAACTTTCCACTGCTATGTACATGGAATGTCCATACAATATTGTGGTATCATTCCGCTGGTTTAATAACGGAATTGGAAAGTGTATATAGAAATAAATGGATGTTGATGTCATTATAGATTTTATTTTATCCTATTGTTGTATTAATTTGATGATTGAAATGCCACACAGGCTAGTTTGCTGCAATATACATATCAAAATAGAATATAATAATATAATTTTATCATGTCATCAATCGCAAACCCATTGAGTCAATCATACAGTCTCATATGGTTTGATGTTATTTATAATTTAATTTTAATGCATATATTTTCCTATAATCTTAAGGTATTGAAGAATGGTTCCAACGAGCCTAAGTACAAGTTCCCCGAGCCTAATCCGTTTGTATCTGAGGAGGAGGAAGGTGAGGTAGCCTCCGTAGGGTACCGCTACCGCAAGTGGAACCTTAACAATGGAGTGGTGAGTTGTACATTTGTCTATTCATCTATATGTAGTATGTCTTAACTGTTTTAATCTTTCTTTGGGCTGTTTTTTTTATTCTAGTTTATATAATTGTATATACTAATAAGTTGGAGTAATTACTCTAGCTCTCTGGAACTGTAAACAAGGTGCATGTTTTACGAACACCAAATAGCATACAAGTTTCTTAAAAATTTGCTAGTAAAATACGGATATTGAGAATGTGTTTATTTTTAATATTTTATTGCTTCGAAACGTCGAAATATTTCATTTTTGACTAAAAATATGTACCAACATTAACCTTACTTTTGTACTTACTTACTAATATTATGTTATAATAAACTTGCAGACTTTGGTAGCTCGATGCGAGCATGACGCTGTGATGCAAGGGCCTCAGAACGAGACCCAGTTCTTGAGTATCAAGGCTCTGAACGAATGGGACTCTAAGCTGGCCAATGGAGTGGAGTGGCGTCAGAAACTGGACACCCAACGCGGTGCCGTGCTCGCTAATGAACTGAGGAATAACTCCTGCAAGCTTGCTAAATGGACTGTGCAGGTATGATAATGTAGTTTTAAATATCAGTAAAATTATTATAGCTATCACACAAAGTGTGGTTGAGCTATGGTTCAGCACAAATTCATTCATTCACAATTCCACCCCACATAATTTATTTTTGTGTTCCATAGTTCATAAATTTTGGGAGACTATAGACTATAGATTTAGGCACTAGCATTGGATATGTGTAAACGAACCTACGACATAAACAAACAAACATTATTTGTTTTTTTTTATATTTTTGCAGGCTCTGCTAGCGGGCTCCGATCAGATCAAGTTCGGTTACGTCTCTCGTGCCCAAGTGCGTGACAACTCACGTCACGTGATCCTCGGCACGCAACAGTTCAAGCCTCATGAGTTTGCAGCTCAGATCAACCTGTCTATGGACAATGCCTGGGGTATCCTACGATGCATCATTGACATCTGTATGAAGCAGAAAGATGGTAAGAACGTCATAATAATTAGATTGTTGTTAGGTTGGTCTATATTTATAAGCAAAAATGGCCTAACATCATCGACTTTATTGCCTTTACTATCATGTGTGCACACATAGCACAGAATGCCTACTTTAAATGACTAAATTATTATTTGATCCGACTAATTTGCAATAGGAACTTGAATTTAGTTTAAAGAGACATAGCACTTGCTGGCAACTGACTAGTTTCCTCAGCGAAAAATACTTTATTTCAACTTATAACATATAAAAATACTTAAAAATAACTTTACACTATATCTTAGTATTTTTATAAATAATGCAAAAAAGTAAGTATGCTATACCAGCTACTCTCGCGCGGTTTCACCCGCTGCTCAGCTCTATTTAAACGTAGCTTGATGTTTTATATAGTAGTAGTAGCCTATAGCACTCAGAAATATTGTAGCTATCTATCTGTGAAAGAATTTTGGCAATCCGACCAGCGGTTCCAAAGATTACCCCCTACATACAAACTTACAAATTTTACCTCTTTATAATATTAGTATAGATGACCTAAAAATATGAAGTCATAACATACTATTTCATTGATATATTCAACTACTGAGAAAGCAGTTACCAAAACTTTTTTTGTTAAAATTAAAATGAAATATTATGTCAATAGTTAACAGTGATTGGTTCCTATGTTCTGTATCTTATTTGTTTACGTACTGGTCTTATTATTTAAAGATGCCAGCAGGTCAAATTATTGCTTGGCGTCTTGCTGGATTCTTTTTCAGATTCGACATAAAATTGAAAATCCAATGTAATTTAAATAAGAACTATACAACGGTAAATTTAAAAATTTTCAGGTAAATATCTTATCATGAAGGACCCCAACAAGCCGCTGATCCGCCTGTACGACATCCCAGACAATACTTTCGAGTCCGACGCCTCGGAGGAGAGCGGAGACGAACAAGCCGACACTCCCTTCGCACCACTCTACTCCTACGGGAACACCAAGAGAATTTAGACCTTACGAACTACACTGCGCTTAAAGCAGTATAGTACTACAACTATATTGAATTCTAAAGCATTACTACAAAGTCTATTCTCCCGTGTACCCCCGTTCTATTATTGTATAGCTGTTAATAGACTCTGCCACATCTTCCGAAAACGTGGCAATCTATATAGGGTTGCCATTAATATAAGATTCAGGTAATCAGTATGTATTTCATATTTTTATTCAGCCGAATACAATTTTATAGTCACATTATGGTTTTTTTTTGATCTGCAGACAGTCTTTTCATATTTTCACTTATTGTAGATCATAAATCTAGATAAACCTCTTTATTCTTGCGTACAAAATTATTGTATGACATTAGATAACAACTTTTTCAAACTATACATATATGTAAATATACAGAGTGCTTAAATAAATTCTAACTCAACAAATTTTACTTAAAACAAATGCCTCTTGGAGTGTAAATTAATAATTAACGAAATAACAAACTGAAGCGTATTTTAAAGCGTCGAAATGAATACGAGCTTATTCTCCGTGACACAACTATTTGTTGCGCAAACTAACTAACGCTTAGTAACGTTAGCGTTAGGAAAGTTTAGCAATGCTTATTAATTTTCCTTTGAAACATCCATGTACTATTTTTTTTGTTGTAGTTACTCACAATTCGAAATGTTGAATACTACTTGTACGGCGACTCTATATAAATAAGTGAGCACAAATAGTAGAGTCGCGGAAAAAAGAGAAAACTTAATAACGACGACGATATACCAGTATGTTTCATTATAAAAATACTAGAATGCATAATCCTATCTCACTAGATCTTTTCAGTTTTCTCTGTATTCAATGCTTGCTCCTCAGGCTGCTGGTCTTGTATGTTAGTTGTAACCTCTTCCAAAGTTTTACCTTTAGTTTCTGGTACGAAGAAGTAAATAAAGAATACGCCGACGTAGCCTATGAAGGCGAACGACCAGAATACCATGTAGTGGCCGCAAGCATCTTTCATTTGCTGGTAACATTTTGTGACTAGGAAACTTAGGATACAGGCTAACATGGTGGCTGTACTTGAAGCTACGCCTTTGACATTGACTGGGAACAATTCTGCTTGTAGTACGTAAGGTAGGTTCCCTACACCGACAGCGTAAAGGACGTTGAACCCTAATATACCGACGAGCGGCATCCACGAGATGGCCCGTGAGGTTTCAACGCTGACTTGTATCGTGTCCTGCAGGAAGAAGTAGAGGCCTACTAGTGTCATAGCAATTGACACTCCAAGACAAGATATTGAAAGAAGAATTCGCCGACCGAACCATCTTGCCAAGAATGTTGCGCCGATCCCTGGAAATGAAAACAGATAATTATGAGACGAGACATTTATTTTACACGACTGCCCAAAAAGAGGAGTGTTATGTTTTTTATGGAAACTTTCGTAGATGTAGATGAAAAGGATAATATGAATATAGAAGTTGTTTTTTTAGCTAGGAGGGCCTCAAAGACCTCACATAATTGAAGTGTAAGTAATAGCAAGAATACTTAATATTGGTTATTCAAAATGTTATATTACCTGCTCCCAGCTGTACGAATCCGTACACGATGCTAGCGATAGGGCCCGATACAAAGTTGCTCTGTCTAAATATAGGCTCCAAATAAGACTGTATTACTAAAATACCAGTCATGTACTGTAACAGCTTCAACCCTGAAAAACAAAATAGGTGTGAGGAAGAATGTAAATAGATAATTGAGAAATATATGCTACAGTCTGCTTTCTGAAGTAACATAGGTACTTTGAAGATCCTAATACATATATTACGTTGAACCGACAAAAAATTAAACCGTATCTTATTTTCCGATTCTGTGTAACACAAAGAAAGGAATTTTACTCCCTTGTTGATAAAAGTACCTAATAACAACACGTCTCAAATAAATATAAAAAAAATTAGATAAAAATGATAAAAAAATAACAAGTCATCACAAAAAAGCAGAATAGACTTGTACTATTTCCACCAAAATGTGGTTCCATTCAATAAAGATAATATTTTCTTGTGTCAACAAAGACAAGGTTACGAATCGACAAACAGTAAAACAATATAAGAAGATACATATTTTTTTGTACAGTAACTTATCGTCAGAAATGCTAAATTTATTGAAAATGACGACTTTCTTGAATTATATAAGAAAAGCTCTACTAGTTTCAAATCACAACAGGACCCTTATTCATGAACAGCGTGCGCGTCGCGCGGACTATGTTGTTATGTACCAGTACGGCCGATGTATCTTGGCGAGTCTGAAGTTAGCCGTTTGTCTGCGCAACGGATCTTTAAGGAACAAAATTGTGTACTGCGCAGCTAATCAGCTAACTTCAGACTCGCCAAGATACGTCGGATTGTAAGAAATACCTAAGTTTATCTTAATTGTAGGGTGTAAGTACTTTGTTACATTTAGCAAATACGAGTGACAAGCATAACCTGTCTCGTCTCCTATAATGACAGAACCTTCAAAAAGCGGAAGAAAAAAATAATTCTCTAAAATACACACGGAACGATTTTCAATTAAGAATCTACAAACAGTGATAAAAGCCAACCTTATCATTGCCTTTAATTACTTCTTGTAAAAATAGAAGAACGTCATTTACCTACGTCACATATTAAAACTCCTGATTTATAAAGTCACCTACATATCAAATTTTTGGAACTTTATCCATTGCATACAATCAAACGGTAATAATTTGACAAGTAGGTAGTATTAGGGGTACAATACCACCGACGTATCTTGGCAAGTCTGAAGTTAGCCGATTAGCTGCGCAGTACCTACACAATTTTGTTCCTAAAAGATCCATCCATCCAGACAAACGGCTAACTTCAGACTCGCCAAGATACGTCGGCCGTACTGTATATAATAGGATTAATGACAGTCACACCAGACTTGAAGGCTTATCTAATCAGACGGTGTAAGTCAAGTCAGCCCACGGATGGAAGGGTCAAGTGAATACTTGCACTGTGCATAGTGTGCATGAATCATTGTGCGTGGTGCCAACGTGAAAGGTCTAGCTCATGATACATCAATTATCAACCTATATTATCTGACTGACAGCGTTCAAGGGTGTCGTTGTCGAGTACCCGCCAGAGCGACTGCCAAGCAAGGGCTCTCAAATACCTACGTTATTCGGATTTGGCAAAATATTAAACTGTACTACTTAAATACGGTTAAAGAAATGAGCATAAAAATAAGCTATAAATATTTATAACATCTCTGATGATGCTTGTTTTGTGCACCTTTATATTTATCTCTGCATCATCCAAAGGTTTGGCTGTCAGAGAATGCCCATGGCATTAAGCCCACCTTTGTACATTTGTTTTGTGCATAAAGATATTAAATAAATAGATAAATAAGCTACATCTCAATATAAATAGTACCTAGTATTTCCTATCTGCCTTGTTTTAGAACAGATAGGTACCACCAGCAACGAATGCGAAGATTATAACTAGGTAAATGTTCCTCAAGTTGATCGAAATTAATGCCTATATCGTACGATGTGTGTCACGCGAGACAGTGACCTTATTTCATTTGATAACATTCCACGCTAGACGTCGCGTCGTTACCAAGCGACTTAGGTTCATCGGGTTTCGGGACGCCAAACTCAACTTCGACAATACCGATATAAGAAAGACTAAAAGAGAGAATGCTCTATGATATTAATCACCATGCTATCGGTATAGGGGGTTAACTAAAGGTAAAATATTATGGTAGGTATGTCTTTTTTTGTATCATATTAACTACAAAAAATATTTAAATTTAGTTTATTAGCTAACATTGATTTAGGTAAATGACTAGGTACCTGATTATAAATATTTTTACATACGATTTCTAGACAACTTTTATATAAAAAGACATGCCAAAATTATTATCATTAAACGTATTCAATTTCTCAAAGAATATGGGGAACGCGTCGATTCAATGTAAAAATACTCAAATGAGAGGCTCGTTTGAGTATTTTTACAAATCTATAGCACCTACACTACTACATATCTTAAAGTACAAATTAGGCGATCGAACCACCTATCTAATAAAGGCGGGGTGCCTAGGTGGATAGTGTCGTGGTAGCTATCTAGCACGAGGGTGCCGGTTCAAAACCTGGCAAGTCCCGATGTGACATTTTCCGAGTTGTATATAGGTAATTTCTAAGATTATTTTGACATTACTGGTATACGGTAAAAGAAAACATCGTGAGGAAACCTGGACTTATATTTTCTAATTATAAGTATGAAATCGCCAATCTGCCTTGAACAAGCATGGTGATTACCTTATGCTCAAAACTTCTCCGTGTGAGAAGAGGCCTTTGCTCAGCAGTGGGCGCTTATGGGCTGGTGATGTGAGACAAGACGACGGTTCGGTTAGATGGTCGATTCGTGCTATTACGAAGCAAAGAAGTTAAAAAATCGTTGTAAACTAGTTGTGTACTTAATGGGTACTTACATATTTACCTGTGACAATGTATACAGCTTTCCTGTAGCGCATGTTAGTCAAAAGTTCTCTCAATGTAGTTTTATTTTCCATGCTCTCTCTAACATGTGCCCGCATTACATTCATCTGTTCTTCTAACAACTGAAATGTAATAATTGCACTTTAAAATAATTAATCATCATCTGATCAACCAAAACTGCACGATGGTGTGCACGTGCCAGTGCACAATTTAACAATGTGTATGTGTATGTTAAATTGTAATGTTAAAAATGTTAAATTGTATGTTAAATGTGTATGTTAAATTGTATGTTAAATGTGTATGTTAAATTGTATTATTGTAAACGCAGTCACGAGACAGGATAAAATCCTATTGCGGGACAATGTTTCTTAAAAAACACATCCACTGTTGAAAATAGATCTTCCCCAATGATATCCCGACCGACCGACCGGACGACCGGCCGACGCTGGTTTCGTTACGTACATAACTCTTTGACTAGGTTACCCGAGTAATTACAAGCCTTGAGCGGGACCGGCCGTGATTACGAACTCGGTTGATCAAATAACATGATGAACTTGTGTATGTGTTTTCAATTTTATATTTTTTATGAAATTGGCCTTATGTCAGGTATAATACTCCTAATAAGTAGTAATGAGAATTTTGAAAAATCGATACACATTAGACTTTGTTGTACCTATGATAATCGAATCAGTCGAAGTGAACAGTTGATCATGCAAATTAGAATACTTATCTACTGCCGACATAAGACATCTTGTAACAACATGGAGTATTAGTACCTAATACAACGTGAGAAACAATTATAACATATTCGTGCTGCTTGCAAAATTCAGTGATAGATACGCGTTATCTGTGATGGTATCGCGATTATTTGTAAAGAGAAGGTCGGATGGTGCCGTGCTATTTCTAGTCGTCCGCAAACTAAATATCAGAGGTTTATCAAAGTTCTAAATTCTCATCTTCAGCTTGAATGCCTCCTTCTGCTAAACAAAAACCTTCATCCTTGGCTTAGATCACATGATAACGCGCACGGTGGAGACAGAAAAGTAAATATGAAATCCCGGGCTTATAAGTACCTACATTTATTTTCACTCATATCAACCACATTACGATTTATTTGTGCGAAGCATTAAAATAAAAGTGAATGGACAGATTTGCATCCTTTAAAAATCTAGATCTATACGATCCATTCTATATAATATAGGTATATGTAAAAGCTAAATTATTTATGTATTTGAACGCACTAATCTCTGGAACTACTGGTTCAAATTGAGCAACTCTTTTTGTGTTTGTTAGTCCAATTATCGAGGAAGGCTATAGGCTATAAAACATCACGCTACGATATGTAGGAGCCGAGTGGCGGGTGAAACCGCGGGACAGTAGCTAGTCTATAATAATTTAAGGTACATACTTACACTTTCGTCCTGATTTCCTTTAAGTCTCATGAACTCTTTCTTAGCAGCTTCTATTCTTCCATCCTTTAGATGGTAATACGGTGACTCCGGTATCCAAAGGCACAGGAGTACATAGCAGATAGGAATGATCAGTATTATGCAGTTTAAAGTTTTGTACGAAACGAAGGGACCGACGCTATAGACTGTTAGACTGCCCAAATTGTTCATGACCTGCACCGTCATACCCAAAGCTCCTCTTATCTCTTTGTCCGATATTTCTGTTACATATATCATTGTTACCTAAAAAAAAGATTTTACAACAGCGAATTATAACTAAGGGCTGATTTTTCAATGGTTAGATAAATGTTACCTGGGGAATAATTATGATGCTGTCGCGTCAGAATATTTGTATAAGATAGTGACAGAAACAATTTAATTCCTCAAATAACATTTATCTGACTATTGAAAAATCAGCCCCTAAAGTTTTACAAATGCGGATTTCACGTTAAGCGCCTGTTTCTTCGCCTTAATTGCCGATTAAATTATGTGGCACGTGGTTCTAATTAACCAATTACGTTCTATATTCGAAATAATACTTAGGGGCTAATTAGCCATTCCAAATCGACCCCAAAACATTTATGTTCACTAAACAAAATTTTGTTAAAGTTAGTAGCTAGCTACTGGCAAACTGCCTAAATCCAGTTTCAATGGGTATATAACGAATAATCCCAAAATATAAATATTTCTGATTCACACGATCATTTTTTATTATGTAAGCAAAATACTTTATAAAAAGCTCAAAACTACAGGAAAGGAATCTACTTTAGAGAAGCCAAACGCAAGAAAGCAGTTATAAAAATAATTCTCGGCGTAATCGTTGTACAGAGATAGAAAAAGCCTCTTTTTTGGAAAGTCGGTTATTGACAACGAAATATAAGCACCCATAGGTACTAATATCTTACCACAGCTATAATACCAGTAGCGAGTCCCATCATAAACCTGGCCACATACATCAGTTCAGGCATGGTCGTATTCAGAAGGAGAGTCTGGAAAGAATGATACAATAATAATACATACTTATTATAAGATGGTGTTTCTCAAACTTTATTCTGCCATGGCCGGTTATTTTGATACGATTCTTCGTGATCTAGGTACATTTTACTTAAAAACCCCAAATGAGAAGCACTAATCGAATGCGAGGAAAAATTTAAAAACAGGCCCTTTAGGTATTTGGTTTGGTTGGGCCGGGTCGAAACGAATTTGGGAAACGCTGTTCTAAGAACATAGGCATGATTCTGTATCTCGCTAATATAAACAAATGAGACATATTTACTTAAAAGATTATGTGTCGACTACTAAAGTGAAGTTAAATAGATAGGTACAGACAGGGTACATAGGTACAAATTCAATAACAATATAAGATTACGGACCTTTTCAAAAAGTAGATAGGCTACGTAAGGCTCATAGGTCCAATATGTGAATATCGTTAATACACATAAGTATAACCACTATGTTGATACCACACTTCGTTTGCTCCATTGTTTTTAAGATCATCACAACCTTTCATTTCTTTACCAGATTCAACTGAATTTCAATGTCCTATATAATTTGTTTGTTAACAGACAAATGTCCTTTAAAATCCGCTAAACAAATAATTACTACTTATATAATAGGCTACATGGGAAATACTTTTCTCACAACTTCGTTTAACAGTCAGGAAAGAAATTCCAGAAGTTAAAACATTCAAATCAAAGTAGAATAGCGTCATGATGGAACGTACCGCACCTAAGAGGCCCGGCACGGCTGAGCCCAAAAATGTACGGCGACGTCCAGCCCTTTCATTTAACACTTGCCCAAAGTAGCAGCCGAGGAGTGCTCCCGCCGAGTGTAGGGACACCACCCATGACGTCTGCGTCTGTGTACAAACAATGTATTATTATCTAGCGGCCTGACCCGCTTCGCAACAAGGGTCCAACTACCTTGTCAACAACGAAAGGGTCACTTTTTCCCAATTTTCCCCTCTAAGTGTCTAATTTTAGTTTTGATAAGAACCTTCTCCTGGCAATAATGAATTCACAAAATTGGTCCAGACGTTATTGAGTTATGCGCTAACAAACAAATTTTGCGATTTTTTATAGATATATTTATATAGGTATACGGATAAAGTGTCAACGTTATACGATTGCTTCGGACGCCAGTGTCTCATAATATTATAATTTTGTCTTGTTTTAAAATTAATCCTTCCCCCATTCCTAAATCCGCGAACAATCACTGCCAAAAGGCCCACCTCTAACTCTTCGATATTTTGAGGGTATCATCAGGTGATCCGTCTGCTCGTTTGCCAACCTAATAGTCGAAAGAAATTAAAATCAAAAGCGACCATGAACCAAGAGTTATACGCACCAAAATACGGTAGCGTGGGTGGTCGGTCGCTATGCCGTGCTTGTAAGGTCATTGACCTCCCATGTATCAGCTGATATTACGAGGGGCAAAGTGATATTCTTATAAATTTAGGCTAAAGGTTATTTATTCCGGAATTTCTTTTTTTTATTTCGTATGTGCAGACACCCTGCGGGGAACTCAGACTCCGCCTCCGGTACGTGGTTAGGATAATGTTATTATTAATTACCAACATAAATGTAACTACTTGTATCGTGTGACTTATAAACAGAGTTCATTAGCCTCTCATGTCATACCACTGTAATGTACCTGCCTATCTTGAAACATACTATTCTAATCACAATCTTACTAAAATGTGGATGCAGCTGGCATGTAGGTACTAAATGATACGGAATTAAGGTACCCAATGTTATAAGTAGATTCACTTACTCGTTTGTTTACACATGTTGGTACTCACTTAAACTTAGCAATTATGAATAAGATTTCAGTCACCACAAATCTCATTAGATATCTGTTAATACTTTAGGTATGAGTAAGTATTGTTATTGCTGAACTTGTTTGAATGTTGTTCTGATATTCAAACGATTAAGAACAAGCATAGATTCATTAATCGGTTTCGCTTTGCGACCGATGCATCGAATAACTAGTATTTTTTCACGTAACAATTGCACGAGACGAATTGACATTGAATTATATTGAGTAGTTAGTTACTATGCAAGTGTTTATCGTGAAGCTATATTCAGCCGATTACTAATAAAATACTTACATCAGTGATAACAACATTCGCTTCACCACTTTTGAACTTTGGAATCGCCGGTGACGACCATGCCAGTGTAGCTCCAGTAAATGTAAATGAGAACGCCGCTGAAGTTTAAAATTATTCTTTATAGAACGAATCATTTCAAATTTTCGCGCTATAAAATGTTATTTACTCACCGCACACGCCCGCTAAATATTGCACTTTTCTATTTGTCTTATTCGACATTTTATTGTTTTATGAAACCGACACTGCTTAACATTAATAATGTTATTATTTTGTAACGTGTAAAACAATTCCTTATCTAAATGAAAACGGTAGACACTAACAACAACGGTCGCGTATCTCAACAATCAACTGTCAGGGTTGCGCGGACGACGACGGCCGGCACGATAGGTATAATATCATTGACATTAGTGTGCGAGTAGGCGGGAATAGTATTCAACATCGACTGAATCCACAATATCTAAACGCGGCAGAACTAAACACTATCTGTCGACACACCTTATCATCGTTGTATACTTGTACTGAGAGGGATAGCTAGAGAGTACGTCTTTGTTTCCACATATGATTAAACTATTGATATTATAGGCACTAAAGTCATTCTTACTTCTTTCAAGTAAATGGCATCTTATTCTACCCCCACTTCACAATATTATCACTACAGATTTTTTTTTTCAAACTTTATTTAAAAGAGCTTATTTGCAATTACAAATATGACGCTCCATACACAAAGCAAAAATAAATTAAGATTTTTTTAAAAAGAAGAATTAAAGCAAACACGATATGCGCCATAACTCTTTCACAAAGTGGAGAGGATAGTAAATTTATACAAAATCCTTTATTGTACAGAAATTACTCAATCATTTCATTAATCAATTTTATAGGTAGAAAATTATGACTGTGACAAACTGTTCTTCTATGTGTAAGAATCAGAGAATTATATTTTGAAAAAAAATATGAAGTATTATTTTGAAGAAATAGATAAAATATAAATAAAATGTTTTTACTGGCCTATGTTAAATATTTTGTACACATCCATAATGTGAAATGAAACAAAAAGTAAATAGTTTGACTTAGGAAAATATAATTACAAAAATAATTTATTATAAATTATTTTGGTTGGAAATTTTCAGGCATACTTTCAATAACATTTTTTATTTGCATAGCAACTATTGGATTATCCGCACTAATATCTGATATCTTGTATGGCCTCAATAAAGTTACATTTCCTATTATTATTTTATCATCTAATTCTGTTACTGGCAGTAAATTGGTTTTGAACCAAGAAATAAGCTTTGCTTTTCTTTTTAATATTTCTTCCGCTGTGTCAGCATGGCTTTCTTTCTTCTGTGGAGGTTTGATGTGATCCAATAGCTCTTCTTGTGTAATGTCGAGCACAGCATGGCCAGGAACTATAATTGTTTGATATCCATTATCTTGAGGTACAGACAGGATAATACTGAAAAAGATTATTTATTTTACTTCAATCTAGGTGTCCTGTCTATAAAAGACTATTTGGTTATTCTCATTTCCAGATTCTTTTCCTAAATGTTATTGTTATACTTTGCTCCCATACTGGAACTGAATTAATAATATAACAAATAATTGATTGTGAGACTGATCGAAAAAGTAACCATAGCAGTTCTAGCCCATTGTTCTCCATAAGAATAAAAACTTTGCAACAAGTAAATAGCTTCACAAAAGGGCGGACTGCTAGATTGATACTTTTTAACTTTAATTTAATTATTTGGTTTGACAATCAAGTGGCTTTATTGATCTAATTGAAGTTAAATTTTATTTTAACTTTAATTTCATAAGCTGTTTAAATAAAACTTAATTAAAAAGGTTTTACCTGAACCACAGGTAACTAAGATTCTGAGGAACCTTTTACTAATAGAATAATCAAAATTTAAATCTATAAATACGAGTTATGTGAAATATCCATTTAAAATAATTAAATATGATAAAAACCTAGGAGTTTTATGTAGGGCTACTTATAGTTTAATACACTTTACTGTACAAACTTATTTGTTTTTATTTACATTGTTACTATTGAGTTATGTTATGACTGTTATGATAATAATTTACCTGTTTGTTACTGGGTCGATTGAGTGCACAAAACCGACGTAAGCACAATCTTTAATGAGGTGAACCCTAACATAAGTATTCACAAGTTTTATTAAAGCTTTTGAATTTTGTTTAATGGAACTGTACTTAGTACTTTGATTATTTTCAGCCTCGTCCATTTTTCTTATTGTTATAAAAGAGCTATGAACAGTAAGGCAAAATTCAGGCTTTCTTTTATAAAATTGCAATCATCAAAACGTGAAAAACATTTTGTTTTACTATTACATTTCAAGGTTAGAAAAGAGCAAAACAACTTGCGTTTTTTTTAACAACTGTCAACTGTCATACTGGAAACAAAAGTGACAACTCCTTAGACCATAGATATGCACAAGACAACATGAACAGCTTGTTTACGACAACATTGTAAAATCGCATGGAAACGACGTGTATGAAGAGCAAAGAGTTTATTTATTAAGAATAAACTGTTTATTAGTAATGTATGTATTAAAATTGGGAATCATTAGTAGCTAATAGTCAGTAGCCAATAGCTACAACTTTAATTTGAAAATTAATGAAATTAAAAACTAAATTTTCACATTGTCTACATTTGTGTGGGGTTTCCCGAATTAGATCTTGTTTTTCAGTTTTATACCATTGAATGCTCATCATACTGGGGTTTCCAAAAGGTTCGTATTTGGTGTGGTGATTCGTATGTCGTGGTTCACATCAACCCTTCTAAGTTTTACTAGAACAGCTGATCAAATTAAAGTTAAAATAAAATTTTACTTCAATTGGTCTAATTGAAGTAAAATTTTTTTTTACAGCCACTTTTGATTGTCAAACCAAATAATTAAATAAAAGAAGTTAAAAAGTATCCTTCTAGCAGTCCGCCCTTTTGTGAAGCTATTTACTTGTTGCAAAGTTTTTATTCTTAAATGGAGAAGAATGGGCAAGAACTGCTATGGTTACTTTTTTCAATCAGTTTTACAATTCATTTTTTTGTAATCATTTATTACTATTTTGTTTGTCCTTTCCTTTCACGGGAGCACAGGGTCCCGGACCTTTGGAAGGCGTACGAGGAGCCGAAGCCAACTCGCAGAGGCCCGTTGAACAGTTTTAATCTAAATGTGATGGGACATCAGCCGGCAATTATCCCTGTATGCACTATAAAAGTGCACCCAAGGACAATCCCCGGTTGATGCAGGACTATTGTGAAATGTAAAAATTGATAGGGTTATAGGTATGGGTTGCTATGGACTGGTGGATATGATAACTATGGAAATACTATGGCCCCTGCCCCTGACCAATATTGATACATACGGATAAACAGGCAGGGAGTGACTGGCAAACTCAATTAACGGCCCCCCGGAAACGGCCGCTAGCATGTAGCGACACGGGGGCAACATACGTTGAGCTGCTTGGGGAAGGAGAGGCATCCCACGGCTATCAGAGCAATCCCGGAAGTACGGTCAAGACCCCTACCAGCACCTTACTGAGACACATCCTTTCCCCGAGTCTCCTTCAACTCCTACTCTTGCGAATCTCCACTCAAGCCAGCCAATTAAGGCAAGAATGAGGTAGGAGGGCTTGCTCTTCATCAGTTTTCACTCCAGGTCGTCACGAGGACTAACCGGAGATGAAGAACAAGACACCTCCAAGAGTCAGGTCCGTGGGGTCGCCACTGAACAACAGCTCGCCACAAGCTGCCTCGCGGATTTATTATTATTATAATTATATTTTTCACTTTTTGCAGGCTGGGCTGTTTTTTTGGAGGATCACCATCAAATGACTTCTCTAGCCCAGAGTACGGCGACAGGGAGCGTCAGACTCCTACTGACTAAAAACTCCTCGTTCCTTCACCAGCTCCAAGCTAAGGCTGCGGGAACTTATAGGGCTTGACACACTATTCCAGCTTAGCATTGGACAAGTTGGGCCCCATCTGTGGTCCATTATTAAACAAGCGAAAGTTTTTAAGTTTGGAATGATGGATGTTTATTCTCGTAAGAAACAACAACGGATCTATATGTGGTGTAGAGCTATCATATGATCTAGAATACCTCATCGAGTGGATATAACCTAATTAGCATTAGCACGTAGGCAAATAGAAATAATAACAAAAGTTTGAGGTCTAATATATAAACAGTAAAAGTCGCTATATTATCATATGAAAATTCATAACTTAAAAATCGGCAAATAAAAAAACGGTCTGTAAAATTTCAACTTGGTTAATAATGTTATAATTAAATATTTAAAAAGCTGTGTGACTTACATAATTTGTTAACTTTTTTGCAGTATATTTAGGTAACCATTAGGTTATAGTAATCGTAGTTGTCTATGATTTTTTAAATTTTACTATGGCAACATCGTATTTTGTTTATAGGATTTCCCGAAAAGTGCACTTTGTCTGGGAACACCAATGTCACCTTTATCTTTTAGTTACTAAGGTTCTAAATTAAAGTGCTGGTTTTATATTTTCTGATATATATACCAAGTATGCATGTGCCCAGTCGAGGCTCGTGAACACGTAACACGTCACATCTCGAGAGCATTTATATTGAAGCGAGATATCCTGCGCCGCAGACAACTTGATATCGTAAAGTGCATTGTTCGTGACCGTGCTGTTAGTAAATTTGTTCTCCAACTACGTAATTCTACTTCATTGTAAACTAAGGTAAGTTTAAATCAATAATATAATTAATTACAGTTACTTGAACTTCTTTCGATCCTACAAAATGGTGGACCGGTATGCTGTGTTCCTTCTACAAAAACCAAAAATGATAGGTTACCATTATGAAATATATTCATTTTGTAGTGTAATAGGCACTTGCTATAGTACTTTCATAATTATATGAAAATTAAAATAGAATGAGTAAAACTTTACTTAAACTTTTCGGCTATGATAACCTTAATACTCGACACACCAATCAATCTTTATAAGTAATGTAGTAGACTGACAGATAATCCACATTAATTCATTAAACACCACGCGAACGCCGGCGTTCGCACACCTATTGTATCTCGAATTGCCACGATTGAAATGTTAAATACTTGAATGGTGATAAAAACTAGGGACATGTTGAATGTACCTATATTTATTAATCGAAATAGGTACTTTTTGCACACAATATTATACTACAATGGTGGCCTAAGGTAATTTTCTTCCAGTCTATCTTAAGATGGTACAGACACAGGTAATGGTAGGTACAAAAACCGTACCTAACTAAAAGAACGCAAGATAATTATTCCTATCATTATTGGTTATTATTCTTTCGACTTCTCAAGACGGAACTTTCGCATTGACTAAGCGTTTTGAATTATTACTATTGAAGTTTCGAGAGCTACAATAATAGATATCTACACATTTCCATTTCATGCTTGATAGGTACCTACTACTATTCTACGTTGAGAAAATAGTAATATATTATGATTGAAATTACAATGAACACTGAAACTTATCTAAAGTTCCTATCAATATTATTATTGAGTCAAAGATTTCTTTGTTCTATGTACCCATACCCATGTATGACCATGGGTTAGTATTACATAATGGCTATTAAGTATTATTATTTTTGTGATGTGATACTGTAGGGCTGTCGTGACGAGTGCGTTGCGGGCTATATGGCGATAAGGGTTTTAAGAATTTAGAGATTGGGGAGGGATGCGGGAGGGGAAGGATTGGACCCCCAGTAACCGGCTACTCACACAGTAGAATACAACGTTGTGATTGTTTCACGCTGCTTTTCAGTAAGGCTGTGGGGCTGTGGTATCAATGCGGTCGAGCCAACCCATTCGTGCAGAAACATACCTATGGTTCTCTCGTTTCCCCACACTAACTTGGTACCTACTCCCCTACTTTCCAGTAAGTCGTTTCGTATTTCCGTAAGGCGAAACTATTATTTATTTATATATGTATTAAGGTCTGATATCATTAAATCACTGAGCGCTCTTACTGTGAATAGGTTTTATCAATGTAGTGTGATGAGTTCTTAGAATATCAAAGCCAACACTTTGGTGCCGTGTGCCGTAATAAAACCGTTGAATTGTATTATAAGTTTATAACTTCTTCTATAGTTATATTACCATTCTGTGAACTAAAATATTATACCTATATTAATTCTCCTACCCACCTCTTAGCCCTTAAGTACACCTGAGTTCTGTAAAATCTACGGCGATAAGACTCCTCATTGTGGACTGGCGTAGCGAAGCCATAGCGTCCTCACCTTTTGCCTGACGACCTGCTTCAGGCGAAGGTGACTTTCGCTTACCAGAAACGGAAGCTTGGGTAGGTACCAGTTCTGGATCCAGGAGGTCGTAACGCCCGGGTGTCGGTGTAAGGACCACCCGCAGGACACGGAGCATCGGCGGCGTCAGCTTCTCGCGTCCGGCCTTGAGCCTAGAGCAAGAGGAATTGGGAAGCCTCATCTTCTTTCTGCGACGCAATGACGCTCGCAAAGAAGAAGGCGGAGCATATGAGGGAACTTTCCTAGTCACGCCCTAGTCGCCGCAGTAGGCGTCACTCCGGGCGTCGTCGGGGATCCAGCTACTAGCTTACGGCACGCAGAGTCAGATGTACGACTTGATTTTCCTCCAAAAAAAGATACCATAAAACCTGCGAATCGTTGGACACTCAGCTTTAACTAACTGAATCTGGAGAGGACTTAATTGGATATTAAAGAAAGTAAGTTAGATCTCGAAGGAGAAGTTGCTAGTTATGCTGACTGCTCACAACTTACAAGAACAGACATGGCCATAAATCAACGAAAACTAGAAATTGTGGGAAGGTGTGACAGAGCCATAACTCGGCACAAACGAGCTGGATGGACCAGTGTGATATTATACCACAACTTCGCAGAGACCATCTTGACAAAACGCTTGCCCTGTGTTTCCTCGTGTGAATAAAGTTACTAGAGGTCCAATCTTTACTTTTCCAGTCCCCAATTCTGTAATCTAGTATATAATTTATATTGCAACACCCAAAAAGAAGGTTATGTTGTTTGGTGTTGCGGGGGCACCGATTGCGTCCCATCGGGTGGCCCGGTGCTTGTTTTCCGCCTTATACCATAAAATAAAGACAACTAACATTCTTTCCTAGTATTGGATTGCAGTGTAGATACAATTCAGTGACTATGTTTACATAATTATACCTATATATACAGGTAACTACGTACTATAGTTCCATTAGTAACGTGTTTAGAGTCAATTTCAATTTGTCACGTACCAATATCATCACAATAAACTTTGGTAGGTACCTATAAATAACTTCGTATACACAATGTTTTACCTTTTGTTATTTTACGAGTATAATTGCGTAGTGTACTGCAAAAAGAAGCTATACCTCTAGCTCAGTTATACATATTTATAACACTTTTGTTTAGAATCTAAAATAAGCTTTGTTAAAAACATGTTAAGACTTAATTTTCAAACAATGTTTTATAAGTATCAGATTGAAGTGTGATGAAAATGGATTCGTAACTCTTAGGTGTAGGTAAGCGTGTCCGTTACCCAGGCCAGATGTTGTCGACAATGGTCATTTGAATCTTATAGATAATTAGTTGTGCGGCTTCTGTAATTGTTGCGCACATTTTTAAATTTGTTGCGCTTATAGTTTTTTAATTATTTCACAAAAACATTTCCTGCTGGCGTAACGTTACCACAGCCAGACCTTTTTATTTCTAATGGGAATATTTAAATAAATATTAGCTATAAAATTAGTTGTCTAGATAAAGTAAATGTTGTGCCTTATTTTGTATTTGTTCTTTCTTCGGTTGCGAAGTTATTCGAGATTTTGCTGCGGTAACGTTTTTGGTTTTGCTAGATCTTTGAAATGGTTAAGCGGATTCTTATCATATTTTGTACACGACTTCCGAGGACTTAGTTTAAATTTGTTGTGCAATAACAAAACCAAAATAATGCATATTTTAAAGGTTTTTTCATTAAATAGAAAAACACTTCAATTGGCCCCAGCACTCTCAATAAGAAGTCTAAAGACTTACTTTAAACGTAATTTTAAAGCTTGTAACTGCCTTCAAATGTATGTGAAGTTTCATTAGTATCCCGTAAGTATTTAACAAGTTATGATGATATTCAGTTTTTCACGAGCACGGCCTTAATGCACGCGGTGTTATTTGGCCACTGGATTGGATATATGAACTGAATGTTATGTCAATAATTAGTTGTTTAGATCAGTTGTATATCAGTAAAATTTCAGCTCAATACATTGGATAATTAATGAGATATTACTATGAAAGTCATTAGGAAGTGAATGACCGTGGTAAGCCGACCAAGTTTAGGTGGTTACGAAAAAGCGAAAACGCAGAACATTGTACTATCTTTTGAAATGTTTAGTATAATACACCTTACAATTTTGGTACAGACGCGTACACTGTTTAATACCTATATAATAATAATATAAAAGAAAACATTATCTTCCAGTTCCACAAAATTATCAAAAATCACAGCTAGAGCATGCCGTTCGGTAGGACGCAGGAGGAGTGGGGTGAAGGGGTAATACATTGTTTGCATAACGCACTCAGTCTTGCCAGAAGGTTACTTTTGTAACCTTTTAGATGATTTTTGAACTGCATTTTGAAATAGAAATGACCAAGGACGGGTGATGTTTAATAGGTTGCTAAGCAACACAAGTTTTTATAAGTAAGGAAGTAAAAGTTCAATTGAAATGATTATTTTACCTTTCAATAAAAAATCTTGAATAATCATGTAGTTTTTTTTAAACTTTTGTACATGTCTGTACTAAATTTATAACACTATCCTACATATTTTAGAAGGTACCATAATGTTCTGCGTTTTCGCTTTTTCGTAACCACCTAAACTTGGTCGGCTTACCACGGTCATTCACTTCCTAATGACTTTCATAGTATTATCTCATTAATTATCCAATGTATTGAGCTGAAATTTTACTGATATACAACTGATCTAAACAACTAATTATTGACATAACATTCAGTTCATATATCCAATCCAGTGGCCAAATAACACCGCGTGCATTAAGACCGTGCTCGTGAAGAACTGAATATCATCATAACTTGTTAAATACTTACGGGATACTAATGAAACTTCACATACATTTGAAGGCAGTTACAAGCTTTAAAATTACGTTTAAAGTAAGTCTTTAGACTTCTTATTGAGAGTGCTGGGGCCAATTGAAGTGTTTTTCTATTTAATGAAAAAACCTTTAAAATATGCATTATTTTGGTTTTGTTATTGCACAACAAATTTAAACTAAGTTCTCGGAAGTCGTGTACAAAATATGATAAGAATCCGCTTAACCATTTCAAAGATATAGCAAAACCAAAAACGTTACCGCAGCAAAATCTCGAATAACTTCGCAACCGAAGAAAGAACAAATACAAAATAAGGCGCAACATTTACTTTATCTAGACAACTAATTTTATAGCTAATATTTATTTAAATATTCCCATTAGAAATAAAAAGGTCTGGCTGTGGTAACGTTACGCCAGCAGGAAATGTTTTTGTGAAATAATTAAAAAACTATAAGCGCAACAAATTTAAAAACGTGCGCAACAATTACAGAAGCCGCACAACTAATTATCTATAAGATTCAAATGACCATTGTCGACAACATCTGGCCTGGGTAACGGACACTAGGTAAGCTACAAACATTAAGTAGTTTCATCATTGATAGGTATCTGTGTATAGCAACCAGCCCCGGATTCGCACGGTGGCGATGTTGATACAATTTTACTCCACTATTTAATAGATGTTATATACACAATAAAGTTTCCACATTATAAATATAAAGTATACACTACAATCAATATCTTAATAAAAAATGCATCAGAATCAGTTGTCTAGTATTAAAGATTGAAGCCTACATGAGTACATAGAGCTACAGGGACAAACAAAACGACTTTGTTTATACAATGTAATGATACAAGATTATTCTAACTATTCACTATTCGTTCCTATTCGTCGACATCAGTGATTTTATTTGTATTTTGTGTTTTTCAAGGTTCTAGAGGCTAAACGAAAATATTTATTTTGTTTTGCTTTATTTGCAGGACAGCGCTATCATTAATTAAAAATGGCATCTGGGAAGGCTAATAAAAAGTAAGTAACTATTTATTTATTTTAATATAAAGTGTAAATACCCTAAAAAATCGTTCCTTTTTAATGGAAATCCCCTACAGTACCTAGCACGTTTGTGTTAGCAGTACCTACCTAATCAATAATAATGATAACCAGTTTCTTCCTAAGTTATATTGAATTTGATTATCTGAAATTATCAGACTTATCACGCATGTTATTACAATATGATCTATAATAATGTATTGGCACTAACTTATCTGCATACCTACATTTCGCAAATCTTAAAATGTCCGCCTCTTAGATGTGTCAAAGTTGATCTAAGTACAATAAAATATTTTTTTATTGGAACAGAGCTGCAGCAATAGCTATTGACCTGCCGGAATGCCCGGTTTGTATCGAGACGATGTGCGCCCCAATCTACCAATGTCAATCGGGACACAGCCTCTGTAACAACTGCACGCAGAACCTGCTGCCGCCTGTATGCCCAATATGCCGTCAAAATATGACGCAGATGAGGAACTGGCAGCTCGAGGAAATTATTGCCAAGGTAAATGTCAAAAACAGCTAACACTACTTTTTCTCTCCACAAAATATACTTACATGTCCAGCAGTGGACAACAACAGGCTGATGATGATGATGAAGTATACATGTAGATAGGTTGACGCAGTAAAGCCAAAATGAGACCTTAGTTCTAATATGGCTGTCTGCTAAAATCTGTACTATATACATATAATATTATAAAGCTGTAGAGCTTCTTTGTTTGAACGCGCTAATCGCCGGAACTACTGGTTTGAACTGAACAATACTTTTTGTGTTTGTTAGTTCACTTATCGAGGAAGGCTTATAGGCTATGATCTGTAGGAGCCGAGCAGCGGGTGAAACAGCGCGAGAATATAGCTAGTAATCTAATAAACCTTTACTTCCGCGAAGCCGAAAGACAAGGTCGTGTGTGCTAAGTACCCATTTAATTAAAGTATTACAAGTCAACGTGAAGAGCACCATAATTCTGATGCGGGACATACTATATCCATACTAATATTATAAAGAGGTAAAATTTGTAAGTTTGTATGTAGGGGCAGGGGGTAATCTTCGGAACCGCTGGTCGGATTTCCAAAATTCTTCCACTGATATATGTATATTTATGTCATACGTCGGCAAACGAGCAGACGGATTACCTGATGGTAAGCGAGGGGAAGGACGGCCTCTGGTAACCTCCCCCCCCCACTTAAAAAATTCTTATTACCTTACGATTTACTACTTTACCAGGAACTCGAAACTTCATTTTAAATGTACATGATTGCAGGCAAAAGTGCCGTGTCCCAATAAATTATCTGGATGCACGTACACCATGATGGCAGTGGATTTGGAAGACCATCTCAAAGAATGCATCTTTCGCGAAATGCATTGCCCACTCGGCGCTGTCTTCGGAAAGTGTTCCTGGACAGGTAAGATCAATAACGACTGTTGCCTAATTATTTAAACTACGAGTAACAGCCGTTTCTTTGGGGCTCGCTACTGACTTACTCAGTCTGGGAAAGAAATATAGATAAAAAGGCATATTAATAGAGAGATTTGTGTAATATCAAATATTTTCTATTTCTAGGTAAATTAAAGGACATGATGGAACACTTCAAGGATCGTCATGCAGAGAACTGCGGCGTCACCACTGATGAGGAAGTGGAACTTACTAACGTCGATATCAAGAACGATGATCGTCACTTGTTCTTGGTAGCACAAGCCAAGTTTATTTTTATCGTCACCGTGAAAATGGATACTCTCCAAAACATGGTCTACTGGACTATTCAGCATATTGGCAATAAAAAAGTGGCATACGATCATATCTATGAGATTCATGTGCTGAGCAAGCAGGCTCCAAGAAGGAAAGTCGTGTTCACTGAACATTGCTTCAATGATGCTATTAAGCCTGAAGAAATATTTCGTGAAGGCAAATGCCCCATGATGCCACTGGAAGTATTGATTAACTACATCAAAGACAAGAAGTTGTCGTTTAGATTCTTTATCAAAAGAATCCCACCAGCGGTACCCAAAAATAACAATGATAAGGGCAACGGCAAAAATGATAACAAACCTAACCCTGGACCGGGACCTAAAGGCCCGGGGCCGAAAGGACCCAAAAACTCAGACGCGAAAAATAAGCAAAATGGACCGGGTCCTGCCGGAAAGAACCAGAAATGTAAAGCTTAATATTATCGTGAGTGACTGTTCCACGTTTTCAATGTACTCGAAATCTGGAACCACATTTACTAAGATAGATTTATGTAACTAGGTCGACTCGTTATAATGAGGAGGTTTAGATTGGAGGCCAATTCTGGTGATTACGTGCCCTGCAACGAGATTCTTAATTACCTACGTTATTTTTATACATATAAAACACGTGTAGTATAAATTATATGTATAAGGCTGTGTTTACATGTTCGATTTGCGAACGATTGCGTTGGAAGATAGGAATTAATACTATGAAAATTCTATCTTTCTTGAATGTTCTAAGCATTCTGTAGCAATCAATTTACGTACGAACTCCTAGATCGCAGCCTGTGATCACGTTTATGGCAATACATTTTGCCAACGAAGTGGTCATGAGTCAAAAGTAGTATGAAGTACTACTAGTGATATTTTTACACGAGTATCTTTGCCAAAGGCTGAGAAACTCGATTTAACACGTGTCTTATTAGTTAAATACGTATTATACAATAGGTACCTAATTACTTAGGTAAGTACCTACTATAAATTATGAATTCCCATTGTGGGACACGAAAAATTAGTTTTGCCCTCTAATTAAAACCAATCACTAATGACCGATTTAGTTATTTAGTTGAACATATACTTATTACACAATCTTTAATAAACAATTATGCACCTAAGTATATTTTAAGTAAGCAATGTGTTACGTAAATTGCTAAAGTTATGGCAAGGGTTTTTTTTAAGATTAATTAAAATTAGTTATATGAGGAATTGATAGAAAGAGATTTTCATTTATAATGCCATGTTTGGTTGAGTCTGAAAACCAATTGTTTTGTTTCTGTTTTCTGCTGACCATAAAGTATTGAATACTTACTGAGTTTGTTTGTGGAATTCATAATTTTTCTCTTGAATTGATGCCTATCCTGAGAAAGATTTTCCGAGAGTAAAGATTCATAAATCGGTTCAATAGTTTCGGCTTCTATTCTATTACCTATCTATAAAATTGTAAGTTACACAAATAGTTTTTTTTCAAAAGCAAACGAGTAGACTGGTTACCTGATGGTAAGCAATCATTGGACGCCCACAACAACGAAAGAGTTATGAGTGCGATGCCGACCTTTTAGGGATTAGGGAGGATTTGTGGCGTGCGTTCGTGCAGCGGAATGTTGTTGAATTTAAAGATTTTAATTATGCAGATATTTAGTGTATGACGTCGTATAATTGTGTATGGTAAAAAAAAATTTGTGCACGCAACCATTGTGGAGAAATTCACCAAAAACTGATTCCGCTGGGCGAACGTTGTCCTGGCGGAACTTTTTTTAATCCATAGACTTTAGAAGAAAAGAGATGTATCCAAAAATTAGTGTGTATTTGTGTGTAATTGTGTATGTATGAATAAAACTAGTGCATGCATAAACTTCGGAGAAATTCAAGTTTCCGCTACGCGAACGTTTGGCCATTACCTAGTTTTCATATAAAGCGCTTACATAGAGAGCTGTAGATTTTTACATACGTTGTTTTGAATTTGTGTATATTTGTTTAAAAAACAGATTTAGAAAAAATCGTAGGGTTTAAAAGATAAAAATATAAACGTAAAATACGCTTATTAGGTCTTAGTTCTTAAAGTATGCACTTTGGGGTCTAGATTTTCACGTTTATACAAACCTTGTAAGTGTCTGCAACATGTTGCCAAGTATCAAGGATGTTCCGTTAGTAATTAAATAGTTATAGGACAAATTTACCATGAATAGATCACTGTTTACGAAGCAGTCAAATATCACGACTTTCTAAATGAATTGCATGGTAAAATGTATGCCAATAATTAGTGTATTCATTCAACTATTCCCATGCAAAATTTCATGTCATTAAATTCAGTAATTAAAGAAAAACAATTATAATACTGACGAAGCATCGAAAACCTACATAACCCGACCAAGTTCGGATGGCTACAAAAAAGCGGCTGTGCAATATATTTAGGTAACATCCCAAAATTTACAGTATAATACCGGTATTGAATTGGTACAGGTGATAACACACTTGTTGTTTCGAAATAATTTATAGGTCATTTATTTTTGGACACCTACTTTTTTAAATGTATGTGACTATGACAGAAAGTAGGTACTTTATTTAAGTATGCGCTTGAGACTTGAGATTTATTCTAATTATATTTAAGACAAATAAAATTCATACAGCTAATTTCTATTGAAGATTTCACGGATCAGGATTCTAACTATAGACCCCTTAGGGAAATTAAATATTTACCACATGTAAGTATGTACTACTGTTTCGGTAAATATTTATCATATTGTAGCTTATTACACTATTTAACCAATATTTTTTATTACACTATTTGACCAATAGACTAGGCATGCACGAGCGTGTGTACGATACTGTGTTTTATTTTTTCCTAACGCTTGTGTACGATACTGTACCATATTAATAAATGCTATATTGGAAAGTTAAGAACGTTTCTTAGATATATGGCACGGCCGCTTTTTTGTAGCCATCCGAACTTGATCGGGTTATGTAGGTTTTCGGTGCTTCGCCAGTATTATAATTGTTTTCTTTAATTACTGAATTTAATGACATGAAATTTTGCATGTGAATAGTTGAATGAATACACTAATTATTGGCATACATTTTACCATGCAATTCATTTAGGAAGTCGTGATATTTGACTGCTTTGTAAACAGTGATCTATTCATGGTAAGTTTGTCCTATAACTATTTAATTACTAACGGAACATCCTTGATACTTGGCAACATGTTGCAGACACTTACAAGGTTTGTATAAACGTGAAAATCTAGACCCCAAAGTGCATACTTTAAGAACTAAGACCTAATAAGCGTATTTTACGTTTATATTTTTATCTTTTAAACCCTACGATTTTTTCTAAATCTGTTTTTTAAACAAATATACACAAATTCAAAACAACGTATGTAAATATCTACAGCTCTCTATATAAGCGCTTTATATGTAAACTAGGTAATGGCCAAACGTTCGCGTAGCGGAAACTTGAATTTCTCCGAAGTTTATGCATGCACTAGTTTTATTCATACATACACAATTACACACAAATACACACTAATTTTTGGATACATCTCTTTTCTTCTAAAGTCTATGAATTAAAAAAAGTTCCGCCAGGACAACGTTCGCCCAGCGGAATCAGTTTTTGGTGAATTTCTCCACAATGGTTGCGTGCACAATTTTTTTTTACCATACACAATTATACGACGTCATACACTAAATATCTGCATAATTAAAATCTTTAAATTCAACAACATTCCGCTGCACGAACGCACGCGATTTGTGGGAGGGGAAGGATTGGGCCTCCTATAACCTCATTCACGGCAAAACACAACGCTGTGGTTGTTTCACGCCAGTTTTCAGTAAGGCCGTGGTATCAATCCGGTCGAGCCTACCCAATCGTGCCAAAGCATGGCTCTCCTTCACGTAATAAAGCTATAATTATTGGCCTTCTTTTTTTTAACAATGAGGTAAATAGATGTTTTATATAGGAGTCAACAATAACCTTCCGATGCAAAACTTTATAGATGATGATGATTATGATGACTGATCACAAATATGTATTTGTATTTGTAAACCTTTATTTTTATTTACTAGATATTTATAGGTATAAACACAACAATTCCTTAGATACTTTTGTATGATAACCTACTTAAATTTTCTTATGGTAAGTTAGTTATTAATTCTAATATACCTACACGATGACATGTACGTACCTACTTAATTATATTTCAGTGGCTTTTGAAAATAAACATTTAAACTATAATTTAGTTTTTTATTTTGATAGACCTATTAACTAGTCTCAATCCCACGCACTAAAAATATTAATAAAATACTTATCTGTGCGTCACAATAGTATCTATATTATGTAGGTATGTAGAAACAAAGTCTTAGGGTTACCATATTCAGCTAGTCAGACAATGCAAAATAGTTTTATTCATCTAGAACAAGCACACAGAGTTCTCTTCTTCCTCACGCCCCAGACGCCGCAGTAGGCAACACACGAGCTTCAGGGATTAATAGATGATCTCCGCGGGTCTGCGGACGTCGAGTAAGGCAAGCTCGCCGCCCGACCCATTACCAGACCCGAGAGTACGGCGCTTAGCGTTCCGCACATGCCTCAAAGAGCCAATAGATTACCACAGACGGGGCCCTATATGGCTGATGTTCAGTCGGGATTGCGGGGCTAGCGCAATTAGGCACCGCGGTCTCGGCCTAGAGCAGGAAAATGAACGGGGGGTTCTAGGCAGTAAAACTCTGACACTTCCTCCCGCCCGACCCTAGGTGGGAGTGATTGTAGTGTGGTGTAGTGAGTCATTTGTTTTTATGGTTTTACAAATAAAAAAATGTCTTACCTACACATTTATTTACTTCAATTGATTAGTATGGTGTATGCAACAATTACAAATAAACTTTGAAACAAAAAAAAAGAAAAATATTTTAAATAGCATATTATAGCAATAGCAATAGCAAACAATATTAAAAAAATATTGTAGTGGAGCCGAATGACATGGTCATTTAATTTTTATCGCCGAATGCTTCGACGTATATTCCATCGTTGGGTTGATTATTAGGCACTTCTCAGAAAAATAGCCAATTTTGAATAAATCACAGCCTTAATCGATCTATTATAATAATAAAAATTAATCCCAAATGCCATGGCATTATGCGTGATCGTCTTGACTGATTCCGGTAATCCTCTTCATGCAGTGTTTATTAAGATCGGAAAATGCATAGGGTAGTTGGACTTAACATTGGAGTTGGTAGTAATAGATGTTTCATTCCTTTCACGGGATCACAGGATCCCGGACCTTTGGAAGGTGTACAAAAGGCCGAACTGTTCAACGGACCTCTGCAAGTTGGGCAGAGGTCCGTTGAACAGTTTTAATCTAAATGTGATGTGACATCAATTATCCGCCGGCAATTATCCCTGTATGCACTATAAAAGTACATCCATGGACAAACCCTGGTCTACGCAGGACTATTGTGCAACATAGTAGAAAATTTTAGTTACGGGTGTGAACTGGTAGATGATAACATGGAAATACTAAGACCCCTGCCCCTGACCAATATTAATACATACGGATAAACAGGCAGGAGTCGACTGGCAAAATCAATTAATGGACCCCCGAAAACGGCCACTAGCATGTAGCGACACGGGAGCTACATTGACGTTGAGATGCTTGGGGAAGGAGAGGCATCCCACGGCTACCAGAGCAATCCCGGAAGTATGGTCGAGACCCCTACCAGCATCTTACTGAGATATACATGTATTTAAATATTAGTAGCAACTAATTTTGCAACCCTCAACAGGCTCCTAGCTTTTCGGGGAGAATCGTAGGATCATTTCTTCACTAAAACCACCCAGGTAGGTGGCTACTCAGAACCTCAAAGGGCAACCGGCTCAAGGGACGATCTCCGGCCACCGTAAGCACGGGCCTGCGGTCGGCGAGTAAGGGCAGCTCGCCGCCCGACCAGAACCAGGCCCGAGCGTACGGCGCGTAGCGTTCCGCGCGCGCCTCAAAGAGCCATTAGACCACCACAGACGGGGCCCTAAAGGGCTGATGTTCAACCGGGGTTGCGGGGTAAGCGCAATGAGGCACCGCGACCTCGGCACAGAGCAGGAGAAGGAACAGGGGGGTTTTTAGTCAGTAAGAGTCTGACACTCCCTCCCGCCCGGCCCTGGGCGGGAGAAGCCATTTGATGATTTTCCCCTCACAAAAACAAAACGGCAACCGGCAACCTCTTATAGACCTGCTGCTGCCTTGGTACAACAATTTATTACAGTGACACACTTGATCCGCGCCGTGCACAGCAGTAAATGACCCTAATAGTACCTAGTTAGGTAAGTACCTACCTACCTCATTTATAATCGAACTAATTAACTTATGTATATTCATTATAGTTCCTATATAAAAACAGTTTTGGAAAGCTAAGTACCATAACAGTTGTTGAACTGAGCTCCGAAGGACACATATTATACCTACATAAACGTATTCGAAAAAATTATAAGTATTGCCATTATTAAATGAAAAAATGAAGAACTTTGGTAAGTTCCTGCCTAAATTTAAATTATTGTACGAGTCTTACCTATGTAAAATAAAAATAATTTCGCTTGTCTAAAATTATAAGTACCTAGTAACAAACATTATTTATTTTCAGAAAAAAACCGACACGTGCTACCGTCATACAAAGCAGCCAAAAAGACTAATAAAAGGTAAAATACAACAAGAGCAGTTGGCACATAAGTATACTGGATTCCTTCCGCTTACGACCACCGCGTTGTTCCTCTCCTGCCTATATCGTGGCCCGAGTTGCCCCTGCGGATTCACCGCACTCTGCCTTATCCATCTATCTAAACACTAAAGTTGACTTTCAGAGGAATTTAATTGAAAGCAAGATACATTTTCAATACAAGATAACCAACTTCTATTGTAAATCTTATAAACTTTATTCTTTGTTTGACTGACACATCACATATTTTTTTAATAGAACGCCAGTACCGCTTCCTGAATGCCTATGCATGGATCCACTGTACGCTCCGATTTACCAGTGCGAGTCTGGTCACAACATGTGCGCCAAATGCACCAAGGAGTCGCCAGTGTGCCCAATTTGTCGAAAGAGTACCGGGGCAATGAGGAACTGGCAGCTAGAAGAAATAATTACATATTATCGAGGTAAAATCTAAAAGATTCTTTTTGTTTTCGTACTTATATTTTTTGTTTTTTTTTTGTAAATATTCTAAGCATTAAGTCCATTATTAACATCCAAAACTTTAAATCATAAGTAGGAGGATTCTTATGTTTATGATCACATCGTTATCAGAATGTAATATGAGTAAAGCGACGTGCAAAATTGTAATGTAAATTTTTATTCCAGACAAAATGAAAGATTTCGATACGTCGTGATTACTGATTTAATCAAATCGTAATACCTACCTACCTGCAGATTCGGAAAATGTGACATGACAGGTAGGTACGATTATATAATTTTTATTTTTTAAAGTGAAGCATGAACCTCGGTATATTTGTTATATTAGTTGAGTGCTTATTACTTACATAGAACAACCACCTTTTGGCTTGGCAGTCAAATAAGTCATGATATATGTCATAAGTTACTTCCTAAACCCCAAAAGAACAACATAATAGAACCTCCTTTTGTATTGTTGATAGAACAGATAATAACAGAAGATGGCCATACTAAATTAAACAGTACCTAAGTAAGTACTATGGAATTCGTAGTGTTATTTAATATTATTCTATTTTCAGGCAAATTAAAAGATGTGATGGAACACTTCAAGGATTGTCACGCAGAAAACTGTACGGTGATAAAGTGGCTTACTAGAATCAATATTTAATTTAGCTTTTCTGAATATTGTTATACCTTCTTATTATTACTATGTTATAAATACACATATCTATAATATAAAACATTGTTATTGTTTCAAATACCTACTACACCTACTTCGTCTTGGATGATACAAGCCCATAATATTTTGGACTCTGTCTAAAAAGGGGGTAACGACAGAGTACACTTTTTCGATTATAAAAATGAAATGAGTCAATAATTTACTAACAAGATAAAAAATGTAACGGATCGTGAATCATCGTCAAATCGACGTAAAATGCTAGGTCTCTCCTAAAAATTAAGTAGTATAAAAAGCCAGCCAGGAGTGTATCGGACTACGCTCGGTGTAGGGTTCCGTAGCTTTCCGTCTGTCACAATAAGAAGTAACCCCACTTAACGAGTTATTGTAGGTTAGTAGCAGTAGCAAAAGTACCTACAGCGCTATCGCTTAGGAAATTAGATTACCTACTAATAAATACAAACGAGACAGGTAGGTAATTTTGTATTGCTATTTTAACAATTATTTTTTTATTTGAAAGAAGATACTTTCAGAATAATAAAATATATAAACAAAGTTTAAAAAATACTTCCATAAATGGTTAAATTACAAAATTAGTTCCGATTTTTCTAGTGCATACGGTCACTAAGATTATTCGCGGACGGACAGACAGACAGACATGGCGAAACCATAAGATTTCCTAGTTTACTACAGATCCCTAAAAAAGACTGCACGGTTGGCGCGGAGGCTGGGCAACTGGCTGCAGCACAACTGGTCGCGGGTTCGATTCCCACACGCTTAGGTGTGTGCCACACACCTAATTATTCAGAGTTGGGTGTGATATGTATGTTCGTGACAGTTTGTGTTTACAAACATACATTTACTAGGATTTTATTAACGTTTACTAAAAAAAACACTGCTATTTGCAATGTATGAAAGGAAGTTTGCAATTAGGAGGTGTGAATACTGATGTCCATACAAAAAGATCTCTAATCCTGGTGGCCTTATATGAATACAGGATTTGAGCAGATACTGCTAAGCTAAAATACATCAGACATTATGCCAATCATTATAAGGTATAAAAAAATAAAATTCCAGAATATTTATTTTAAAATTTTTATTCACTTAACCTAGATGTTCATTTCTTAGCCTTGGCTTCACGTGTGGCTTTCCTTTCTGCGGCACGGGCAAGCTGCTTTGCTGGTTTCAGGTTGCCTTTTTTGCAGAACCTTTGGTTCCTCAAGAACTTAGGGTCCATCTGTTAAACAAATAGAGTATTATTAGTTTACATTTCTAATGGTTAATGTTACTGTTACAACATCAACCCTAGGAGAGTAGTTAAATTGAATAAGTTGTAGGAGGCAATGGCTATTTTCAATACATATACTAAGAAGAACTAGTTATATCTATACTAATATTATAAAGAGGTAAAATTTGGATGTTTGTCTGTAGCGGGGGAAGTCTTTGGAATCACTGGTAGGATTGCCAAAGTTCTTTCACTGATAGATAGCTACAATTTTCCTGAGTGCCGAGCAGCGGGTGAAACCGCGTAAATACCTAGTTTTCTACAAAAGAGGAAGAAATAATAGTGTGAGGGAGTGTCAGACTTTGGTTACCCAGTTTAGATTATTAAACTAGCAACCACAACCCTTGCTGATCATGTTATAGGATGAGTCTTTTCATAATCAGGACACTGAAGATGAACATCAAAATGACTTATATTCCAAGTCATAAATACAGTTGCTATATTAAATTAACAGGGCAAATACGAAACTAAGATTTAAATTAAGCATTTGACTGCCGACAGAAAACTGTTGAAGGCAAATCCTTCGCTAACAGAGGTCAGTGGTGACCCCCATTACGTTTAATGTGTTAAAGTCTTAAAGTCAATACTTTTGTGTCAGATACTTTTTTTTATAAAATTTCACATAATTATTATGGTGGGAGTATGATATTTTTATTGAGTAATCGTTCTATTATGCTACAATCGAGATACTGTCAAAAACCAAATATCACTATTGAAATAACAATGGGAGCTTACAAAAATATTGCATGATACTAATGGATGACTGATAACGGATTCATTGTATGTTCTAATAAGTTATATACAACAATAGCAACAATTTTAAGGGCACAACCTTTTCTATTGTGTTATGTACTATAATTATATTACTAGTAGTAAAGAGATAAACTCTTAGCTTAAAACTCAACTAAGGAGTTATTGACCATGGTTTGTCTTTAATTATTTAACACCAACTGCCTTACTTAGAGATGTTAAGTGACTACTTAAACTAGAATGATTTTGTTCCGAAAACAATTGAATGGGAGCCAAAATTAACTATGGATTGGGTAGTCACTAACCATTACATGACTAGTATAGGGATTAAACATCTGTTTTCGTTTTAAAAGATGTACCAGTCTTATCTTCAACATAAAATATACTAAGTATAAATAAAAAAGACATAAAGCTTCTGTACTTACACCAAGGGTGGATTCGTGCCTCTGTTTTGTAGGCTTTTTGATGCCATTTCTGTGGGCTTTGCGGTCTGAAATAAAGATACATTTTGTTGTATTTACAATTCCTCAACCCTAACCATACTCGAATATAAACACGTTAAAATAAACTTATATCAATGTTTACTAGAACCAAGAGTATTAGATTATTTTACAATGAATTAAAATACTCACTTTGGTTGTGATTTGTGTGATTCTTTGACTTTGCCATTTCGTCAAATTGTCGAGTTCTGAAATAGAAAATAATATAAATATTATAATATTTATCACTAACTTCCTCAAAAAAACTATTCAATCTTATTCAAAACGAAGAGATCCACCAGATTTTTAAGAATTATTTTAAAACTTAGAAACACTAACCTAAAAACAGCAAGAGAAAAAGACAAGAGGAAAACAATCGGTCCTGAATGTCAAACGAGAACGCACTAAACATAGATTTAAAGGCATAGCACTATTTGTGTCTCTGTCACTCTTTAGATTAGGGTATATTGCTATGTCGCTTATTCCGATTGCTTAAGGCTCAAAATATAGAATATTAATACTGGACTGAATTCTGCGTTCCATTTTATTTAGAAATTATATAATAATTAAATTTGAAAGGAATAAAAATAAGTTATGTATTTTAAAAAACTTGTTCCTATTTTCTTTTTATTGATTTTTAATAATTGATTTTTTTATGGAAATCCCTTGACATAACGTAAAGTCGGGATGTCAACGTGAAAATTGTCATGACGTGACAAGCAATGTGTAAAGTTCCATGAAGTCTGATTTGTAAAAAATAGTTGTTTAGCATGCTAAATACCCTATCTTCTTTTAACATCATCTTTAACATGATTGAGTGAAGGAGTAGGACAAAAAAACATGTCATAATAGCAGGTTTTTTCTAGCCTTGAATGCATATCATGTGTCGTGTTGTCTGAAAGCTGTCTTGAATAAAATATAATCGAAATAAATTTATATCACATTCTTAAATTATTATAATAAATAAAATTAGTGGCAAGTCACAATGGTCGTGTTAGAAGGCGATTCCGGTGATAAACCTATTACTTCTGAAGAAACTGATAAAGAAGTAAAGTCTCCAAGACTGTTATCATTAGAAAGTATCCTTTACAATTTTTTCAAGTTTTAAATAAAAATATAATAAATCGTATGTAACCCATACATTAAGGACCTGGTGTTTAAAGTCTAATAGTTACAATGGTGTCTTGATCCTAATAATATTCCTATTGGTTTTAATAATTTCAACTACAACTCTTATTAACATTACTTTCTTATGGATAAGTAGCAGAAATTATTTGTTGTGTATTAAATAAAAAGTCTAGTATGGATGTTAAGTTATCCAGGTATTATTCCATACAATATTGAGATGTATTGTGTATTATGCCCAATGTATCTGTTAGAGCAAGAGTATTGCGACCTTTTTTTAATCTCTATGCATTTTATGATAGTATTTTGAATTTTCTTTTTTTTGAGTTGACAAGAGAACGTCAAGTAATAAATATGTGTTCTGCCAAGTGTGTTTTTACTAATATCCTATAATATATCTTTATGAATTTTTCTTCCAAGAGCTACTCTGTGAAGGAGTGTACCTACGTAGTATCACACTCCTTCAGGTTATGATCACCAGCGGAAATAGAAAGTACGATCATGAATAACTCTGGGAGCAGCGGCAATGGTACGCATATACAATCACAATCGTATCCATCCCAAGGAGTAAGTATGAGTTTACCAGCAATAGAGAAACTTGATGGTAGTACTGATTATAATACATGGAAGTTCATGATGGAACTTTATCTAATTCATGAAGACTTGTGGGAATACACTCAAACAACACCAGCTGCTAGTGATGTTTCCGGCTCTAAAAGAGATCAGAAAGCGAGGGCAAAAATCTGTTTAATGATTAAACCACATTGTTTGATACACGTACGTGAATCGAAGACTGCAAAAGCGGCATGGGATGCCCTGAAGACTGCCTTTGAAGACAAGGGCCTGAATAATCGATGCAGACTTCTTACAAAGTTGGTGAGCCTGAAACTAGAGCAATTTTCTTCAATCAGAGACTACATAACTGCCATAATGACAGTAGCGCAACAGCTACGTGATCTGGGCAA